GCAGCAAATGTAGTTCAGGTTTTAGGTTGTGGGGTGCTACCAGCCTCTCATTGTCAGGAAAATCAGTCTGCTGGAGCAATGGGAGCAGCCTGACTTTGTTGGCATGCTGGCTGTGACCTCCTTAACTGCCTCTGTTGTGCCTGCAGGTTCCTCTTCGAGTCGCTGGGCTTTGTGGTGAGCAGCATCTGCCTCTTGCTGGGGATCTCCCTAGTGATGCGTGTGGACTGTGCCGTCAGCACCTGGTTCAGCCAGCTCCGGCTCAGGTAGCGCTGGAGACATGGGGATCCTGACCTGCTCATCGGCCCAGGCTGTGGTTGTCCCCTTGCCTCCCTTGAGCTGGGAGGGATACATGAGCCGCCAGCAATGAGTGCCTGCCGGCAGCAGTCGGGGATTATCCCCTGCTCCCTGCCTCTGCGCTGTAGAAAAGGACCGGAGTCAACTGTTCCTCGCTCATGGCGGGGGTGTTTCTCAGCAGGGGAGGTCAGAGCTCTTGCTGGGCCTTTGCTGGCAGCAGGAGGACTCTGCTGCAGGAGCCCAAGACACAAAGAGTCCTGGAGCGCTCCTCTGGAGAAACACCAATGGGGATCTTGCTGCTGCTTTCTTGACAACTGTCTCCACTGTGCAGCTGGAAGGCTTCAGTGGCCAACAGGATGTCACGTTGCCTGTGCAAAGACTCATAGGATGGGGCCTGCTGAGGAGGGAAGAGAAGGTGGGAAGGAGAGGGAATGTCCCACAGCCACGTGTTCAGTTTTCACACTGGAATCAAAGTGTAGGTGATTACATGTGCAGATGGCTCCCAGGGCCTCGGTGGCAGCTGCTCCTCTGTAAAGTCAGTCAATTGCTCTGTAGTGAGGCCTTTCCTGCCCTACACTCACTCCTGTTTTCCAGGTGCTCCACAGCCCTATGAAGGGCAGTGGAGAGCACTCTGGGCTATCTTGTACAGCCTGAAGAGGGCTTAGCTTGGGGCAGTGGTAGCAGGGAGAACTGTGTCCATGACCAAGAAGCTCTCCACTTGTGTTCTCAGCCTGTCAGGGTTCCTGTGGGCTGGGTGGTAGCAGCAAAGGCTCCACATCTCTTCCTAAGTGTGTGCTGCTGAATGCTGGCTGTTAATTGTGAATGGTTAAGATAGAGAGGATGTAGTGACAGAATATGGGCTCACCCCCATATTGGGCCTGGCCAGGAGGAAAGAGGAGCCCAGAGTAGCTGTCCCAACTGCAGGAGTGGCCTTGGTGTGAGCTCCAGTGCCTGGGAACAGCTGCTTGAAAGCCCTGAGCAGGCACCAGTTCTTGAAGGAGGTGGTTTAATTCACTGGTGTCTGTGTATGTGCTTGGGCTTATAGGCTCTAGGCACTGCAGCCAGTTGCATCCATCATCCTGTGTTTGGTACTTCTCTCCCTCTTGGCCTTGGCATTCTCTGTGGGACTTCATGCCACAAGTGAGCTACCCCAAACTGCCCTTGGCTGCATGGTGTTTCTTTCTTTATGGGCACAGGTAGAGGACAGTGACCATGGCGTGTGGCCACGTCCCAGCCAAGTTCCTCCTGCAGTTTTCATTGGAGCTGGGATTCCTTACTGCCCTGAACCACTGTGTGGCATCACTTGGTGCTATGAAACCTTTTGTCTCTTTTCCCTCTGGAAAGAGCTGAGGACTGCTTGCCTGGGATTTTTGTATTGATGTTTGTCTGATCCCATTAATTTTTAACTCATGCACCATGACTGCCCCTGTTTGAATTCCTTACTGCAGACTGTTAGTGTAACTCCAGGCTCTTCCTCTCCTCTGCCCTGGAGAGTCCCAGGGAAAATGTCTTGTCACCTCTCTCATCATTTGAGTTCTTGCCGTTTTTCCCAAGTGTCCAGTTGCTGTGGAAAATGGCTCTTTAGGGCAGGTTGAGTTTTGTATTTTACCCCTGCAAAATGCCTGCTCAGTTGTTAGGGTGCAGTTCCGGCAAGGCTTAAACAGCTCTAATTTTGGGTTTCCATTGCCTGACCTGCTCCTGAGCTGCTGGCTGTGCTCTCCTGTGTCAGCCTCTCCTTTGCCCTGCTCTGCGAGCCTGTCCTGCTCAATTTCACCTGACTGAGCCAGGGACTGGTCTGTAGCTGGCATCGCTCCCTGGGCTGCCTCACTGCCTGGATGCATGACACTGATACTAGGAACAGGCAAGAGGTAGCAGCATAGTGGGGGAAGCTGGAAGCTGCAGAAACACATCAGCCCACAGTTAGATGGGTTTAGGCAATCCCACCCTCAGAAGTAGGTTATTTGCTGTAAACTGTGACTCCTTGGCCATATGTTCTCTCTGCTGAGGGGCGAGGGGTACATCCATATGCAGAGGAGGAAGGGGGTGGAGGTAGCAGCTACCCAGTGTTCATTTAATGTGAAGTTAGTCTGGATAACATGTTGCTAAACCCCAAGGCTGGAGCCCAAATAGGTCGTCTTGTGACCTTGTAACCTGGTCAGGAGCTTGCTGCCCTGCGTGTATTTGTGCTGGCAGGAATCCTTATGGTCACTGATAGTGTAGAACTGGCCCCTGACGTCCCTGCCGCTGCCACCCAGGCCCCTGGGCTCCCATCTCTGGGACTAGTTCCTCTTTCACTGGCCACTCCAAGGCAGCTGAGCCTTTCCATGCCCATTGTTCATGGTTGGAATACTCACAGGGTGCTTGGGCATCCTCTCTCACCCCTCCATGTGGCTGTGGGCTCATGTTCCCAGGACACCAGGGAGAGCAGAGGGAATAGCAGCGCTGTAGTGTCACTGAAGCACACACACTTATCTTAACAGAGACTAAACAAAACTTGCAGTAACAGAGCTGCAAGTACATTCCTGTTACTGCAGAGATGCCACGGAGTGCTGGCTGCTTGGCCACGACAGACTGGCTGCTACACCAAAGATTTCAGATTCACGAAGACAAGTTTTCCAAGGGCTGGAGATGCTCTTGCTTCCCTTCATTGACTCTCTTAGTCTTTGTCAGCCTTCCCCAGCTGCCCTCGAGCTGACTGATGGTCTGCCATTCTCCTGAGCCTGCTGGGGATTACAGAGTTAATGCTGGTCCAGGGCTTGGCGACCTTGGAAGCAGAGCATGCTGCTGATGCTCGAGCAGACAGGGCTGATTTAAAACCAGAAGAGGAAGCTGCCTGCTGGTCCAAACCAGGGCTCTTTGGGAAACCTGGCATGCTGGGGAGTAGGCTCTGCCCCACATCCTTTCAAAGGAGCCTGCTCCTGTCATAGGAGCCTGCTCGTCTCTCCTGGAGGAGTTATTCCAAGTGGTTTGTTTCTAGTCCCTATGTCCCTTGGCTGAGCATGACAGGGGACAGAGTGCTCAGCGGAGTAGTTTCCATCCTGCACTCCACAATCCTGCTGCACTTTGGGCTTTGCATGCGTTGTGCGTGTGTTCCTTGGCAGGGGAGAGCTCCATTGGGAAACTTCCCTGGCTCAGGCCCATGGTGGACAGTGTGTCCCATGGTCCTGGCACAGGTCAGGGATTGAACTGTGTCTTTTTTCTGCTGCTTGGAAAATGGTGACCGAAAGCCACTACCACTGTGAAGAGTTGGGGGTGTTGGGAGCATCCCACTGCTCTGATCTGTGGTGCTGACATGGTCCCAAGGGATGGCACTGCTTTGGGGAGGCCAGGGCTCTATTCCCACACCCGTTCCTCTGTCCCATCTCTGTTCTTCCCTCAACACTTCAGGCTGCTTTTTTATGCCAAGGCACAGTCCCAGTCTCAGTGTGCATGTTCCCCTTTCCCCTCGGGAAGCAGCAGTGCCAGTGTGTGGGGAACAGGGCTGGGGGGTGCTGTTCTCTCCTCTGAACCCTGACTCGACATGCAACATGGCTTGGAGCAAGATTGTTTTATTTTTTATTAACCTCTGTGTGCCTCAGTCCCTCATTTGGGGAAAAAAATAAAAGGGGATGGACCCAGTTGTGGAAAGCATCCTGGGAGCTCTGCATGCAGCGTGGTGCTACACTTTCCTGGGTATCTACACATCTGGCTGTCAACGCTTTCATTCACATCCAGCAGCTACACCTGGAAGGTGGAAGCGATGCTTGAGTCTCTGCTGGGAGGCAGAGCCTTTTTTCTTGCAAAAACCCCTCCAAAACAGGCAAGTGGGCAGCGCTCCTTCGCTCGGCAACTGCAGCCCTTGTGATGGGTGTCCCACATCCAGCAGTGCTGGGTGCGGCACTACCGACCGCAGGGGGCACCCAGGGAGGGGTCACTGCGTTAATAAATGATTTAATTAATGAATTAATTAAGCGGGGAGTGGGGGAGGTGTGCGTGGAGATTTGCTGTCCGAGGGTGGCACGGGGCTCCGGGCGGCTGTGAAACTGATGATGTCTGCAAATAAAACCGTGAGAGCCAAGGCGGGTGGTGTCGTGTCCTTCTTTCATCCCTCTTCCCGATGGAGGACCCTCCGGGACCCGTCCCAGGTCTCCTTCACAGTGCCCTTAACGCAGTCTACAGTTCCTCACGAGGGGGAGTGGAGGGGAAGGCGTTGATCTCTCTGACGACCAGTGACAGGAACCGTGCGAAGCTGACTCTGAAGGTGTGCCACGGGAGCTTTTGGTTGGACATTATGGAATCACGGAATATCCAGAGGTTGGAAGGGACCCACAAGAATCATGGTGTCCAATCCCCTAAGATTCCCCAAGAATCAGCCTTTTCCTAAGGGTTTGCTAAAGGGGAGGTTTAGGTTAGGTATCAGCAAGAGTTTCTTCACCCAGAGGGTGGTTGGGCACTGAACAGGCTCCCCAGGGAAATGGTCACAGCGCCAAGCCTGACAGACTTCAAGAAGCGTTTGGATAACGCTCTCAGACACATGGTGTGGTCATTGGGGTGTCGTGGGCTAGGCTAAGAGTTGGACTCCAGGATCCCCGTGGGTCGCTTTCAACTCGGGCTATTTTATGCCTCTGTGACCGGCGGCTTCGCCTTGGGCTGCCTTTTGTCCCTCCGCGGCCGCCGCCTCCCCGGCGGGACGCCCGCTCCGCCCCGCCCCGCGCGTCCCCGTTGCCATGGTGACGGCGGGAATGGCGGGAAAGCGGCGGGCGATGGCGGCGGCCATGAAGCGGCGGCGCGAGGAGGCCCCGGGGCCGGGGCAGGACACGGAGCGGGAGCAGGAGCGGGGTTGCCTGCGGTTCTGGGCCGCCCACAGCTGGGCGCTGGCCGAGCGCTGGACGGTGCGGCACGTCCCCTTCCTTCCCTGTCCCGGTCCCCGCGCCCCAGGCCCGCCGCCGGTGCGGTCCCCCATCCGGGCGGGCGGTGAGTGAGTCCCTTGCAGGCAGCGCGGGCTGCGGGGCCCAGCGGGGCGGCGGAGGCGCGGGAGCAGCGGCGGCGGCAGCGAGACGCGTTCGAGGAGCTGCTCCTGAGCATCCGCGGTGAGTGGGGCCCTGTCCCCGCCCCTGCCCCTGCCTGGCCGGCGCCTCCCGCTGCTGTCCCGGACCTGAGGGGTGTGGGCGTGGGAGCACCGGGGCTCGGACACTGCTGTTTACCAGGATGCTTCTCCGGCATCCCAGTGCTGGAAACAAAATTCTGAAGTGGGTGGGAGGGGTTTGAAGCGGTCCCCGCTGCCCTGTGCTGAATTGGGCCTGCAAAGGTGATAATCGCAGAATGACAGAGTTGTCAGGATTGGAAGGGGCCTCTGGAGACCACCCAGTCCAATCTCCCTGCCCAGGCAGGGTCATCTGGAGCAGGTGACATAGGAACGCATTCAGGTGGGTTTGGAATGTCTCCAGAGAGGGAGACATTCCGATCTGGAGCAGGGCAGACTGTTCCAGTGCTCTGCCACCCTCGATGTAAATAAATTCTTCCTCACGGTGAGTTGGAACTTCTTGTGTCTTATTTTATGGCCATTGTCCCTTAGGATGTAGCTCCAGCATCCCAGTGCTGGAAGCAAACCAGAGTGAAACAGTTCCTCTGCCCTGTGCTGAACTAGGCCTGCAAAGGGGTTAATGCCCAGCCCCAACCTCCACCTGATCTTGCTGGGCAGAGCTCTGGGGCTTCTGGAAAAAAAATGAGCAGTCTTTGCCATGGGAAGCCAGGGAAAGGGCTCCCTGCCACAGTTGTGGTGCAGAGGGAGCCTGATGGAAGGCAGCCTGAGTTCCAGTTTTGGGCTTCTCACTGGAAGAGAGACAAGGAGCTCCTGCAGGGGGTCCAGCAGAGGGCAACAAAGATGATTAAGGGACTGGAGCGTCCTATGAGGAAAGGCTGTTCATTCTGGAGTAGAGACAACTGAGAGGGAACCTCATCAATATCTGTAAGTATCTGAAGGGAGGTGTCAGAGGACAGAGCCAGGCTCTGCTTGGTGGTGCTGAGCAACAGGACATGAGGCAACGGGCAGAAACTGATGCACAGGAAGTTCCACCTGAACATGAGGAAGAACTTCTTAACTGTGGGTGACTGAGCACAGGAACAAGTTACCCAGAGTGGATGTGGAGTCACCCTCACTGGAAATATTTAAGAAGCATCTGGACACAGTCTTGTGTCGTGTGCTGTAGGATGGCCCAGCTTGAGCAGGGAAGTTGGACTAGATGAGTCACTGTGATTTCTTCCAACCTGACCCATTCTGAGATACTGTAAGGAGAGAGACACAGCGTATGAAACGTGTGTGAAAGGGTGGATTTGTATTGAAAGAGAGTAGGGTATTGATGTTCTCTGGAGAGAGCTAAAAGGTCTCAGTCTTGGAGGACTGCAGCACCTGGATAGCTGGGGAATGGATGTATAAAGCAGTTGGCACCTGAGGTGGTGACACGTGCTGTCTATGGGCAGTGGCCAAGTGCTAAATCACACCACAGTCACAAGTCACACCACAATCCCAAAACACACCACAGTCACAAATCACAATCACAAAAAATATTCTTTCCAGGCCACTTCTGTTGTCACCAAGCCAGGTGTTGCCACTTAGGAATGGATGGTTGGTTTTTCCCAGCCAGCTAAATTTCTTGTTGGGTTGGCTGTGCCCACAGGGCTGCCGGTTGCCCTCCCTACCCTGCCTCTGGAACTCACTGTCCTCTACAACTCCCTGCTTTTCACTTTGGGAGCATCCGACTCTGCCATCGAGGGACAACCAGATGGAATACGCCAGGGGCTCCTCAGGGGTAAGGAGGTGATCCTCTGTATGGGGACTCCTCAGGGCGAGGGGAGCATTCTCTGTGCTCTGGAGATATGTGGTGGGAGCAGACATGCCTGGCTCTGCCTGTAAGGGCTGGAGAGGGAGGGGAGCAGTGGGCAGGCACACCTGGCTCCACCAGGAAGGGCTGGAGGTGAGGCTTGTGGCCAGGGATGATGTGCAGCTGCCTGCCTGCTGCTCCCTGCAGGGATGGGCCAGAGGTTTTAAGGGAAACAAGAGTTTTCAAGGTGTTAGGTGCCAAGTCACAAGCGAAGCTTTGGTGACAGTAGAAAATTAAGTGTTTTCTTTAATTATGATGTGCTGGCTTCAAAGAAAACCCACTGAAATAGGCTGCAGGTGAGAGGTGGATCTGCAGTGTTGGTACATGCTTACTAAGGGCAAGTGACCTCGAGAGGACTCAGCAGAGCTGGAGTTGTAGCTCTGAGCCGTGTGTTGTCTCCTGAGTGTGCTGCTGTCAACTCCACTCTCTGAGAGCTTGGTTTCTGTACTGCTGAGGCCAGGCCAGCCCTGCAACCCCACTCCTTCCCTCGCTACAAGGAGCCCATGCTTGCTTGAGGCTTTCTTCCTTCTTGCAGGAGGGTGTCCAACTTGTCTCATGGCTGTGGGTATTTTTGCCTGGTTGGTTTTTTTTTTTCAGTTCTGGAGGCTTGTGGGGCCTGTGGACAGGATCTCAGCACAGAGGAGCTGTGGCAAAAGGTGCTGCAGGAGGTAACAGTGGAGGAGCTGCAGGCACCTCTGCACCGACTGGGGGCCCTGCAGGCAGCCTGGTGGTTGGCAGCCGGACGCCTGGGAAGCATTGCTGGCCTATTCCGGCTCCTGAGCACTGCTGAGGTAATTGGACACGGGCAGACACTGGCAGAGCCGGTATAAATATTGTGTTTGTCATGAAACCCACCCTGCAAAATGTTGTTGTGGCATTTGGACACCTGAAACCATCAGTGCTGCCCAGTCAGCATGAGTAATGCTCTCCCTGGTGTTCCAGCATAGCCTAATGGCCCTGAGTGCGCTAATGGATCCCAGAATATTCTGCCTGTTGGGGCCCTGGGACCTCTGTATGTGAGACAGGAGATTTGGGCAGGCTGGAATGGGGCTGCAGATGGACTTGTAGACTCTGTAGGGAACATTCTGTGGGCAGTTGGATGTGGAGGAACCTTCCTGCTGATTGGGAGGCTGCTGAGGGGTCCCACCTTTCTGAAGGCACTCCAACAGCACTTGGATCTGCCTTGCCAGGAGCCCCTTGAGGTGAACCCCACTCTGAGGTGGGGAGGTGCTGCCCCAGGCCAGGCAGGAATCAATGCAGTGACAAGGTTGTATCTGAAGTGAGTGGGTGGTAGGACACTGCTTCCCAGTGCAGAGAGCAATGTCAAAGGGTTTAGTGTTTCCCTGTGCCCTTGGATCAGTGTTTCCTGCTTCCCTGCAGCATTCCCTGCTCTCTGTCCTCTCACATTCACAGGACACAGGAAGAGGTCGCTGCAGTGAGGGGCAGAATGAGCTCCTGTCCCTGCTGAAGACATGGCAAGTCCCTGCTGAGGGGGTCTGCCTACCTCTGGTACAGAGTGCTGAGGACTTGAAGGAGATCCTCTGCACTGCAGCAGCCTTCCTGCAAGGTTTGTGTGGCAAAGGTACTCAGCTTCCCACTGCTCTCCAGTCCTAGGACCCCCTTACCCTGTCCTTATCATGCTTTCTCTTCCCAAGCAAACTGGCCCTTGGGGGTTTCTGGGCTGAGCCTCTGAGTTTCAACTTTTCCATTCCATATTCTAAGAGCTTCCCTGCTTTTACCCCAGCTGATCCTTTCTCCACAATGTCACAGGGCTCTGCTGCCTGTCTGTGACTTTGCGTAGGTGTCTGGGCCCTGCAGTGATCTTAAAACAGAAGGTTGGCAGGGGACTTGTGAGCATTTTCCTTTCTTCTGTCTGTCTTCCTGCACGTGCCTCATTGCAAGCGCGTTGTTCCTGTCGGATTATGGTGCTGCAAGAGCTGCACAAAGCTGTTGTAGCCTGGTGTCACAGCAGGCAAAGGATCTCATCTGACTGCTGCATTCTGTCCCACTTGTTCTCTCTCCTTCACTGTTTTGACAACCCCAGCAGCTCTGGGGGCAGCCAGTGCTGCCTTACTGTGCTCAAGCTCATGTGGGGCCTTCCTACCAGGAGGCAGGGCAGGAGCTCCAGCCCACAGACCCAGAGCCAAAATGCTCTAGAGTGGCACCAGCACTTCCAACAGGGAGGTGGCAGATGTGAGTATGTGAGACCAGCCTCAGAGGGAAGTTTGAAAAGAGGACTAGAAGAAAAGCAAATAACCAGTTGTGCTAAATATTAATGTCTTAAGATCCCAAAGCATCCTGCTGGGAAGTGGCCCAGATGTGCTGGAAAGATTCTGAGATCCTGTGTGTGTGCTTCCCCTCTGTCACTGTGGATGAATGTGGAGGTGAACCTGCCCAGCACCTACCTCTGTCCTTGTTCTGGGCCAAGGCAGATATTTTGGTTTCTGGGCTTAGAAGCTGCTGTTATTTCTGCTGGACATTTCCATTGAGTGACTTGTTCTCTTGCAACGCCATCAAAGCAAAGATGGCAGCTTGGGACCATCCTGCTGTTCATTGCTGGGTTTGGAGGGGGTCAGGCAGGTCCCTATGGCACTGGAAAGAAAAGGGCACCATACTTGTTTGGGGACCAGGGAGGGCAGAAAGGCGAGCCACAGAAACGTTGGGTCTGTCCTAGGGCTGCAGGAGCTGGAGGCTGGGAACTTCCCCACTGCCCTCTCCCTCCTTCAGGAAGCTGCAAGAGGATTCTGCTCCAAGAAAGTCGTGGCTCAGATCTACACCTGCCTCGGCTGCTGTGCCCAGCGAATGGTAATGACAGCAGGGAGGGGAAAAGCATCTCAGAGCAGGGTGGGAAAGCTCAGGCTGATGCCCACACTGCCTCTCCATGGTCCTGGGCCCCTGCAGGGTGGCAGGGTCCTGAGCAGAAGTTGCCCTCATTGCCCCAGCCTCCTTGGACAGGCTGCAAAATCCAGGCAGGGATTTTGGCTGAGCACAAAGGGCTGCAGAGAGAGAAGATCAAAAACCAACCTGAGGAAGGCTGCCCTTGGATGAAGTGCTGCTCTTGCTTAGTGGGGATTTCTGGGGAAGCAGAGCAGGGATCTGGATCCCACCAAGTAGTAAAGATATGCTTGCAACATGCATCTCTTTCCATCCAATTAGGGCAAGCCTCAGACAGCCCTTCAGCACCTGAAACGGGCCCTCCAGGTCGACTTCCAGTGCCTCTCTGCCCTGTCCCATGCGGCAGCAGTGTACCATGAACTGGGAGAGATTGATACAGAGCTGCAGGCCCTGGCTCTGCTCTGCGAGGTTTGTCTGATTCCTCTAGTTCTGGATTGGTTTTTTGCCCAGCAGAGCCTGCACAGAACTTCAAGCAGGCTTCTGCTTTCTTGGGGTCCCCAAAGTAGGCTACAGCAATCCAGGCATGGTGCTGCTTTCAGACCATGGGCAGGAAGAAGCCCAGTGAGATCTGAAATTCCTGCTCAGCACCTGGCAGTTGGATATTGTGTCCCAGTTCATGTTTTTGGTGGCTTGGGAGAAGATGCTATAGTCTCAGGTCAGAAAGTATCAGTCTTTTAATAAAGTATTTGATAGTAAAGAGGCCTTTACAGGCAGATTGTGGCCTGAGGGGGTGTGCGTTAGCTGTATCAACCTGCCTGGGAGAGCAGGTCACAGCAGTAGACAATGAGTTATCTCTTTAGCTTTTTGAAATCTGTAAGGTACAAACAGAGCTGTGGAGAGGGATCTCTCTCCTTAGAATGACCTGAGATCTGATCTAACTAGGTCTGTGGCTGTAATGGGAGATGGTGTTCCAGGCAGCTCAGAGCACCTTGAACTAAACACCTGAGGTGATCTGGGTGATCTTGCAAATCTTCTGGCACCATGTGGAGATCAGGAGCCTGCCTGATCCGTGTGTGAGTGATCCCAATGGCTCTTCCTGGAAGTGGCTGTGAGAAAAAGTAGCTGTGCTTGTGAAGTGCAGAACCTGTGCTCTCCTGGGTGCATCTCCAGATGCCAGAAGAGACAAGTGGTTGCAGCTGCATGAGATTTGACCAATGTGGTGTTAATCATATTCTCTGTTCCTGTTTTCACAGGCTCTGAAAAAAAAACCTCCAGCAGCTGCTTCCTCCAGTCCCAATATCCTAATCCAAACAGAGCTGCTTGTCCACACGCCAACACTCACTTCTCTCCTTCGCCATCGCCACCCCTCTGAAGTGAAGTACCTGCTGGCACAGCGGTGTCTCCAGGGTGGGAGGTAACAGTGCCTCTGGTTTGCTTGCAGCATGCTGCTTGTTTGGGCTCTGCAGCTTTCCCTGTGCTCCTGGAAATGGTCCAGTTCAGTACTGCTGTTGTAGGTCTGCTCAAAGCATGGGTGGTTGTGACCAGAGCGAGTGTGGTGCATGGAAAGCCTGTGGGCTGGCAATCCGGGTTCCACCTGGCTGCTGGCACTTTTGGGGCTCCCTCTGCTCCTTCCATCATGTGTGCTCTCCCTGTTGCAGGGTGGCTGATGCAGTGGAACATTACCTGGATTTTCTGGCTCTGCTTCAGGACGGTCTCCAGCAGCAGGTGGGGGTCCTGGTGAGCTCCCTTGGTGATTTGGTAGATGAGGTTTGAATCTCCATCCCAAGGCCTGGACTCCAGGTTTCAGTGTCTAGTTTGAGATGTAAAAGAAGTGAAGTGGCGGCTGGCCCCCCTGACTTGTGGCATGTCTGCCTTTGGATTCACACCAGAGAGCACTTGCTACTGCTGTTTGGAGAAATAGCTTCCCCTTCCCCATAAAGCTGTCAGCCTGATTTTGGATGTCCTTCACTTCCAGAGTAGGGATTTGCTGCCTTGACTCTGCTGAGCTGTGAGTCCTTCACAGGTTCTGCCTGCTCTGCCAGGCTCCAGTGTCTGTGGGAGTGGGCCTGAGCTTTGCTGGGAGCAGCCCTGTGTTCCCAGGTGGGATTGCTCTGCCTGGCTGGGCACTGCAGTTCTGCAGCACTGACATTGCCTTTGTTCCCCAGGTGCCCCTGGATGGTAGCTCAACTCTGCCCAGGATCCCAGAGGTTTTCCTGGAAGCAGCATCCGCCTTGGAGCAGGCTGGGAGGCACCAGGATGCCATAACCGTGTGCGAAGAGGTCATCAGACGGACGACTGACCTGATCCCACGGATGTTACGAGAGGAGGAGAGGCTGGAGCAGCCAGAGTGCCCATCGCCAGGGGCAGGGCTGGCGGGGGAACTCTTGTCCCAGAAGAAGGAGAGTCTGTGCTGCCTTGCCTGGAGAACAGCTGGATACCTGCACCAGGGCTGGGCATGGGCCAAGCTGGGCGAGAGCAAGGAGGCCATAACGCAGTTCAGCAGGTGACGAAGCCTCGCTGGGAGAAGGGGCCTCCCCAGCAGGCAGCACTGGCTGGCAGGGCCAGGGCAGGGCACAGCACTGCACCAGGGCTGGCCTGGCAACACTCCTGACAGCCCAGGAGTGGCTCCAAACCTCCTGCTCCCTCCCACAGGTGCCTCGGCGATCTCCTGCGAGTCCAGCTTCGTGGGCCTGGCACTGAACCAATAGGTGAGGACCTGTGTGGGGCCAGGCTGGGTCAGGATCCATGTGCTTGTCAGCAGTGGGTACAGGAGCAAGGTGGAGAGCCCAGCATCACCTCTGTCCCAGAGTGCTGAGCTCTGTGCCATGCTGAATCCTCTGAAGAGCCTGGCTGGTTTCATTGGAGCAGGGTTTGGCCTCAACTCTGCCTCCTCCTTCACTGTCTAGGCAACAGTTAACTGAGCTGTGAACTGGGAAGCTTCTCCAATACAGATTTCAGGAAAAAGATTTGTGCCAGTTGTGCAGATGGGCAGCCAAAGGTCAGGCTGCTGCTGAGGTCGCTGTTCACCACAGCCATGTAACATTCTGAGCTCTTGGCATTCTTCAGTCTCCCCCTCTGCTGCCTCTTGGCCTTTTCCAGCCTGGCAGAGGGGCTGAGCATTGCCATCTGTCTGGGGAGCTGGAAGATGAGCCGCCCAAGTAAATCTTTGGCTTGTCCTGACTGCTAACCTGGCTCAGCCTGCAGGGACTAGGGAGGGAATGCCTGGAAGATGCTGTCTCCAGGTGCATGTGTCTTTCTGTGGCAGAGAATGTCCCGCCAGAGGTGGAGGTGCTCCAGAAGATCAGGTTGCTCTCTCTCATTGGGCGAGGTACACAGTTTCTGGAGCTGGGGAGGCACAAAGAAGCCCTACTGGACTTCCAGCATGGTTTGCATATCTCTCCAGGTAAGAGGCTGTTCCTTTTCCTCATTTTGGTGAGGAACAGAGGGGATTTCCACAAATTTGTCCTGGCCTGCTTTGCTATCTTTAGCAGGAAATCCTTATGCTTTAGACCACACTTACACAAGTGTCAAGGACTACAAGTAGGGCCACTAGAAATGTTATGTGAGGCCTGGTCAGCTCACTGCCCTGGAGAAACAGACCAAAACTATTGTCAGAAGAGTATATCAGAAACTTGGCAACAACCTATGCCCTAAGACAGCTTGGAAATATCTCTTCCTGCCCCAACCCCAGCCTGGTACAGCCAACTTTCTCCCAAACAAGTCTGCTTTCCCAGAGCAGAGGAACAGGAGTTGTGCTCCATCTGAGGAAGCAGCATGTCCATGCCTGGCAGTACAGGGGCTGTGAGGGCAGTACACATGTCTTGAGCCTAGCCAGGGCATGGCTAGTGCTGTTCCCAGGGTGATATCCCCTGTTAGTGCTCCAGCTGTGCTGCAAAGGTGTGAGCTTCACCAGAATCTGCCAAACCTGCCAGTCCCAGTCCTGACTGTGGCTCCCTCCCTTTGCGGATGCAGACATGCCTGCAGGAAAAATCTCAACCTGTGTCCAAGGAGAGGTGTGGCACGCTGATGCCATCTGTCTGCCTTGGCTGCCATCCCTGGGGTTAATTAGAGCCTGTGACACAGCAAGACAGTCTCCTCCATATTACACCAGCTCTCCTCACGCTCACCCACCTTGTCTGGCTTCTAAGCTTTTTTGCAACACCCTGCAGGTCACAGCAGTGCTGAGGACCTGCTCCTCCCCTGCTAAAGGCTGATCCTCCTTCATGTCTTGCAGGTGACCCAGCTGCTGCCTCCTACCTGGTGCAGGCCTTGTGGAAACTGGACCGAAAGCAGGAGGCAGCTGCTCAGTGGCAGAAGTTGTCCCAGAGCTCTCCTGGGGAGCAGGAAGGGAAGGGAAGGTGTGTAGAGAGAAGGGTGGGATTTCACCTCCAGCAGCAAAAATGGTGTGTCAGGCTGTGGTGACAGTTTAGCTCAGCTCCTCACCTGTGCCCACACCTCAGATGTGTCTGAGGAGCTCTCCTCACAGCTGCTCTGAGGGACCACGGGCTCTGGCTCTGCAGGGACTCCCCAGGGCACAAAAGAGCTTGTGTGGAGCCAGATGGGGAGGGCAGAGGCTGGAGGAGAGCAGGGGGCTCTGCAGAACAAACTTCCTAGTCAGACATGTCCCCTTCTCTTTTAGGCCCCTCCCTTTGTACTTGGTTTCGTGTCTGGAGCATGCCATGTTCCCACACAGTGAAACTCTTGCCAGCACCATACAAGATTACCTCGAGACAGCAGCCCAGGACACCTCAAGCTGACCTGGTCAGTCTCCAGGCTGGCACAAAGCCTTTAATCACTCTTTCAAGACTCAGAATTACTGTTGGATAAAACTTGATTCCCAAAGGACTAAAACAGATCATCTTTTCTAATAAAAGCCTCAGCTCTACTTAGTTTTAGGCTTTTCTGTGCTGTTTTTCCAGAGGGAAACATTGCAGTCATGGCCTTGTCGCTGCCTGGATCTGTACCCCGGGTGTATGGGAGATCAAGGACAGAGATATCTTCATCCTTTGTGCCAGCTCTGTGCTCCAGGCTCCAGGGACCTGGAGTTCTGTCCTATCTCTGCTTTGTGTCCTGGCCTTTTGCTCAGTTGCTGCAGTTTGGAGCCCAGAGAAGGGGTTTTGGCTGAAGCACGCGGCTCTGAGGTCTAAATTCCACATGGAATTTCACAGGAATGGGAGCAGGGTCTGGACACATGCCTGTGTGTCCCTGGTGTGTCCCAAATCTGTGGCCCCTCTGTAACAAATGATCAGGGGTGAAGAAACACCTGCCCCTGCCCAGTGCTTGGTGCAGCTCATTTTCGGTGAGGAAGGTCCCTTGGCACATAATCCGAGCCTTTGTCAAGCCTTGTCTCCCACAAGAGAAAAGGGATGTTTGGGAGCTGCTGGCAAAGGATGAGTTGGGAGAGAGGAGAGAGGACATGACAGAGCTCAGGAGAAGCATGAGGCAGGAGCTGCTGAAGCCTCTGAGCACTGGCGGGACAGAGGGGCTTTGGGTGGGCTTTTTCCTGCAGTTCCTTTGGGAAAACAGCTGGCCATATCCTGGGCTGCATCCAAAGCAGGGTGGGCAGCAGGGCGATAAAGGTAATTGAGCTCTGCTCTGGTGACACCCACCTGGAGCACTGCATCCAGCTCTGGGGTCCCTAGCACAGGATAGGACACAGACCTGTTGGAGTGAGTCCAGAAGAGGGACACCAAGATGATCAAAGGGATGGATCACCTCTCCTACGAGGAAAGGCTGGGACAGTTTGGATTGTTCAGCCTGGAGAAAGCTCCAGGGAGACTTTCCATACCCTCAAGGGGCTGCAAGAGATCTGGAGAGGGACTTTTGAAAGAGACATGGAGTGACAGGATGGGGGGGGGTAACTGCTTTAAAGTGACAGAGGGCAGGGTTAGATGAGGTTTTGGGAATAAATTCTTCCCTGTGAGGGTGGTTTCCCCCAGGTACAGGTTGCCCAGGGAAGCTGTGGCTGCCCCATCCCTCGCAGTGTTCAAGGCCAGACTGGATGGGGTTCTGAGCAACTGGATCTGGTGGAAGGTGTCCCTGCTTACGGCAGGCGGTTGGAACCAGATGATCTTCAGGGTCCCTCCCATCCCAGGGCATTCCACGATCCCACGGGAAGGACGCGGGAGGCCCGGGTGGCGGGAATGGCTCCGCGTGCGTGCCCCGCCCCTCCTCATTGGCCCTTCCCTGGGGCACCGCCCAATCGCGGGGCGCGGGCGGTCGCGGGGGCGGGACTTCCTGCCCGCATGTTCCCGTCGGTGGCTCTTTGCCTTTGGCCGCCCGGGCACTGTCATTCAGCTGAACGCCGCGCTTCGATTGGCTGCGAGGAGCGGCGCCTGGCTCGCGGCGATTGGCCAGAGGGCTCGTAGGGGGCGGGGCGAAGGCGGAGCGCTCACCCTTTTTTCTTTCCCCACCACTCATTGGCCGGGGCAGTGGCCGGGCGGAATTTCCGATTGGCCGGCGCAGGCTGTTGCTAGGCAGGGCAGGCGGCGTGGGCGGGACTCCCGCCGCCGATGAGTCGGCGCTCAGGCTCAGCCAGCGCGGACGCCCCAGACCCGCCGTCCACCGCCTGCGACCCCCGCGACCCTCCGGACCCCCCGCCCGCCCCGCGGACCCGCCGCCCGCCGCCCCTCGCCCCCTTCCCCGCAGCGCCATGGCCTCGGGATCCGAGTAAGTGCGGCCCTCGCCGCCTCCCCGCGGGCTAGGCCCTGCCGCGGCCTGGGCCCGGCGCGGCCCGCCCGCCTCTCCCGGTGCGACCCGCGGGCCCCAGGCGGGCGGCGGCGGCGCCAGGACGGGGCTGGGCCGCCCCCCGCCGCCCGCACCGCCACGGCCGGGCCGCGCCGGGAAGTGTCGAGTCATGGCGGGGGGGCGAGGCCAGGCCGGGCCTCCCGCAGGGCCTTGCCCGGGCCCGGGGCCGCCGGGCCCCGCACCGCGGAGGGCTTTGTTTCCCGGCCTCGTCCCGGGCACCGCGGGCTCGCCGCGGCCCCCGGGCCGGGGCTGGCGAGGGCCTTGGCGCTGGCCGACGCCGACATGTTGTGCCGGGCATGGCCGAGGCGATCGGCGGTGTTTTCCTCTCGGGTGTCCGGCCTCGCTCTTCATGGCTCTGCTGAGTTCCAGGCTGAGAATCGTCTTCTGCTCTCCTCAGAAATGAGTAACAGCCCCTGCTCGCAGCCCACGTGCCCCTCGAGAGGAGTAAAATAGAACCGAAAGATAAATTTTCCCCAAAGCAGGGATACTCGAAGTGACTTTTTGGCCTTGCCAGAGGCGCTTTCGGTCCCTTTCGTGTCCTTTTGCGTGTGTTTTCCTTTCCTTTTGGCACTCCTGGAATCCGGACCTGCTTGGTCCTGCCGGGTCAGTTTCAGCGAGGTGTACCAGGCATTCTGTGGCCATGGTGGAAGTGACATTCCCAGAGCCCTGCTGAGCAGCCGAGCAGGGTGAACAGTGTCTTTAAAAGGGGATTGCTACGTTAGCAAACTTCTTCTCGCCCGAGTAGGAACCAGCAAAAGTTACTTTGCAGCTGGGACGGGGTTACTTTTTAGATGCCATTTTTTGTCCCTGCTGCTGGCAGCCATCTTGCTGAGCCGAGCCTTAGCACGGCAAGTAAGCATTCCAAAAGCTCAGGGAGTGTGGGTTCTGAAGGGATTCCTGTTTTCCTGTGCCAGCCTGTCTGAAGCAGTGTTGAAAACTTGGCGTCTCCAGCACGAGTTTGAACTCACCCCGTGGTTGTCTCGTTTCAGTAAGTGACTGCAGTCACCACATACCTCAGGCACCTTGCTTGTGGACAAAACTGTATTTATGAATTTTTTTTGTTCTTGAAAACCTGCCTGGGAAAGGCAGTTTAGTCTGTAATTCAGATGTTCAGGGTGGTAAGAAACTGCTCGTGGTAAGAAACACTCTCCTATCTGGGAAGTGATTTCATAAGGGTGGTTATAAAAAGCCAGGCCAGCACGCAGAGGGCATGGCAGTTTTCACTTTTGTTTCCGCAGCTGGAATCATTCTGAGACAGTGACTTTTTGCTTATTTTTAGCACGGACTTACAGGAACAGCTTGTTTCCTTACTTTAAGCAGGGCTTTTGAGGTTGGTTGTTGTTTTCAGGAGGATCACTGATTGGTAGTTACCTTCTGCTCTGACTCTTCATACCCTCCCCTGTGATGCCTCTGGGTGTTATGTGCTGAATGAGGGGAGCTCTGACACAGAGAGAAACTGTGGAGTGATGTGAGTCCGTGAAGTTGTGTCAGGAGAGGTTTAGGTTGGGTATTAGGAAAAGATTCTTCACCTAGCGGGTGGTTGAGCACTGGAACAGGCTCCCCAGGACAGTGGTCACAGCACCAAGCCTGGCAGAGTTCAAGAAGTGTTTGGATGATACTGTCGGGCATGTGATGTGACTCTTGGGGGAGTCCTGTGCAGGGCCAAGGGTTGTGCTCGATGATTCTTGTGGGTCCCTTCTGGCTCAGGATAGTCTGTGATTCTCTAAGTTGTAGAAAATCCCTCTGCTCCTTCCCTGTGTCAAATGGGTCTGTTGAACTGCTTTACTGAGGGAGGAAAGCGGGCTGAGGATGTGAACAGGGAACCCACTGTGGTTGGCCTTTAGCGCTAATACATATTTGCTTCAGTTTTATGGATGTCTTGCACTTTGTGTACAAGCTGGGCCATTCACTGTGCTGAGCACTGTGTCCTCTCTTCTGGCCTCTGTCAAGGGGCAGCTTGAATTTCCTTTCAATTCCAAAACAGCTCTAAAGCTGCAGTTTGTGTTCAGTTTGTCTCTTTGTTGAGTCAGGGAAAGAAAGGACTGAGAGGGAAGGTGTGTGAGGGAGCTGACAAAAGGAGTGAGTCAGGGAGATGATTTGGAGGGTTTGCACTAGGCTCTCTCTGGAACTGTAAATATTACCTAGGTTAGCTGTCTGTCCCTACCCTTTGCTGAAGCTTGCCAGCAGGAGTAGGAAAATTGGCAGGAGAGAGCCCCAACCCATGCCTTAGGGTTTCCCGATTGGTATTTTCTGTTCATGCTGCCCTTCCCACAAATGTCAGGGTTTGTCTGAGTGTGGCTGAGGTGCACAGATCTGTTTGGCCCTGTCATTTCAGCTATAGCAGGAGGAACCCCCAGAGAGATACAACAAGGGTAAATGCTGATGGTAACAACACTGTAAATTACTGATGGAAGATGGGGAGTGCTTGTCTGTCCAAGTGCTTACCCTTATCTCCAGGAGAAATAACATCATGCCTACCTGACTTGTAATTTTGTAGAACTTTTGTTTTTATCTCTGCAGAACTGTCGGGTCAGAGCACTGAAACTGACCCCGCGCATTTGAATGCCTCCATGCTGTTTCTTGGAGACTTTTATTCCATTTTTAATGCCTCCAAGCTTTTCGATCGCTCTTAAGTGCACTTGACATTGATCCAGCCCTCCCTTCTTAGGGAACTGTAGGTCCAGTTCTTCCGTACCAAAACTTTTTTCTCACATTCAGCAGAACCAAGTGGACTCTTGCCATGTTCTTCATCACTGCCGCGTGTTGGGAGATGTCCTAACTTTCTTTCCAGTTTCCTACAGCTTTTGGTTTGTGGACAGTTTTGGTTGAAAAGCTTCCACTTGCTACCTGGTCCCTTTACAATTTATTTTTGATCTTATGTCCCAGGCTGTTTTCCAGGCTTTGTGGCAGTCCCTGTGTCCCCAGGGACAGCCACCCGGTTCCAGTGACAGCTCACGTAGCTGGAATCTGGCAGCGGTTTCTTATCAAAAGGCCTTTGGATCCACATTTCGTGGTCAGGGGGGTATGAGTTACATTCACACTTGGAACAAGCCAAATAGGAGTATTGTGTCTCCCTGGTGTCCCTTACCTCAAATTTTTAAATCTTCCTG